TATCTATCTACCTATCCATTCATCCATCCCTCTATTTATCTATCTATATGTAGTTTTGGGTTTTTACAACTGCCTGAAGTAGAGCATAGGCGTCCCAAAGCAAAATTTCGAGTAGATGGACAACCCGACTGAATACAGGCACCAGAATTGGCACCGTCAGTCAGACCAAGAGGCTGGCTGTGCTCACAATCAGACAGATGGACGGCTGCATCAGCAAAAAGACAAAGCCGCAGAGTAGACTGCGGAGACCATATGCCAAAGGCGATGAAGCTTGTGCATCAGGACGAGTTTGCCGTCCTAATTACTTCGAGCCATCACTGCGGGTTTCGTGCATAAGCGAACACAAACAGGCACATACACAAACAGAGACAGACACACTCACAGGCTTCGAAGTTGACATATAACCGTAACTAACCAAATCACTTTATATCTGATCATAGAGGTTAGATGTAGAGATGTAGAGGGATTTGCCGGTGAGTTTTCTTGACTCGTTAGCTTGAATTTGGTTGTGAGGATGATACCTTGCTCTGAAGATATTCGTCATATGATGGACAAAAGCTTAGCACCTTTTCACCGGAATCGAAGACGTTTACCTCGGAAGCAGCGTCAGCATGAATGTTCCAGTAAAACCAATCGACAGCTGGTCAAGAGTAATCCGCCGTCGTCTACTGTTGGAATCGACCTTCGAATAACTTTACCAAACAATTTCATTTGAAATGGAAGTAAGCACAACAAAGGCTCATACAACTAGGAATTAAAGACTCTTAGATACTAACTTAGACAGCCTAGGTCTCTTAAAGTGGTGCAAGGACTGATGGTTTTGCTTTCCCACAATCATATGAGTAGGCCTTAGATACCAATGGATTTCATTTGGCCTCGCTTCCTAAAAGTTTTTCTCATTTAGGCTGAACTGTAGTTCTAGATCTGGCCTCACAATCTCATCTATACTCTCAAAGGGGATTCGATTCCGGTTCGAGAGTATCGTGTCGACGTTGTCACTCCACTATTCGTCCATGGGCACGAGTAGCTTACAGGACAAACAAGGCCTCTACCAAGTCAAACTTATAGTGGTATTTTCGATTAAGTAAACGTGTGATTGTCCTTTCAATGGACGGAGATGAAATACAATAATATCGAAATGAGAGAGTTCATTTTTGCTAAGGCTTTTATTAAAATACAATTATGCCAATAAACCAGATTTAGACGAACCTCTGTGAATATGGAAAACATATAAAACAAAAATAGAAATAGCTAAATGCATATAGGCACATGTAGATGTGTATATGTGGACAACTTTGGTACGACAGGTAAGTATCTGCCTCATAATGCACCGTGACGGTAGACTCTGACCTGAATGCTGGCTGCAGTAATGAAGGTCGTCGAGCGATTCTGTACTAAAGGGCAGAAATAACAGGAGTACGCCCAAAGACGTTGGTCACTTGTACTATTTTCCTTGGGCACAAAAACCCTTCCAAGGGAGGAGATTGGCCACTTTGTGCCGAAAATGACTCCATGGAGGGACAGCAAGTGTGCCCAAAGACGAGTTGGAGCAGACCAAAGTAAAATTAGGCCCAGACAGCTCTGGTCGGTCAAGGCACAGGTTCGTTGCTTCACGAATAACTTCGTTCATTGGCAATACGTTTCGGCCAGAAAGACGAAGCAAGAAAGAGCCGACAAAGAGGCTACAGGAAAGTGTCATGCAGAGGTAGAAACTGACAATAAATCTGGACAAAAAATCGCGAGTAGCCATGCTGCTTTAAACCTTGAGTGAGGGGAAGGCCTAGGTTTGTCGTTGAATTTCACCCTGCTAAATAGTCCGATAGTACAAACCCATCACCACTTTAGCAATCGTTAGGTCAGACCAAGTTTCGTCGTCCTCTAAGTTTCGGTGTATAGGCCAATTCCATTTAGGATTAGACATGGTTGTTTTGGACGGACTTGTTTTGAACTGCAAACGATACCGAACCCTATAAACGGCTTAAATGAACTCGGAAGTTCAGGTTGGGGAGGTGGAGATTAGTGGAGTAGAAAGTCTGCCTAAGAGCTTAAATGTCATTCCACTATAGTGACACTTTGGCTCGAAGTTCGAAAATGGGTGTGAGTGACTCGCAAAGAAGAGAAGAACATGACAGAGCATGATCTAGAACAGAAACGTAATAAGTAGGGGCATGTGCAACCAGAAGGATAAGGTGTGATGAAAGCAAAATGTTTGTATACTTTCCATTCTTCTAAGGAATTAATAAAAGGGAATGAAGGCCCTGTATCTGTTGGTCATACAGAAAAGAGTTACTTGATTAACCACTAAGTCCATCCGAGGGACTAAGGCGTTGACTTGAGCATAGTACTAGTGGTGTGAAAATGTGTGTGATGAAGAGATTCGATCAGTCAAGGTGGCAGCTGATTCGCGTTACCTTGCTGTCGTCTTATCTTAGCGTGACATTCAGGCTGATGCAGTTCACAAAACATCTTTCGGTTGGCAGAAAAGCAGACGGAGCCCTTGTCCGTCGTATGACAGACTTCGACAAAGCTGAACAATTTCATACAAAAAATTTATGTTTTTCGTTTTGGTACGGTTTCGAGACGACTAGTAAATCAGTTATATGAGATGCACTCAACTATTTCGTTTAAGGTGATGAAAGACTGGTAGATGAATTGTATCGCAATGATATGGGAAGAACGGACGCTTCCATTTAATTTCACATAGCCTTCCTTTCCCAAATGTTGTTTTCATCCAGGGTGGACTGCAGTTTCGACCTCGCATCGGTCTTATCAACACCTCCAGCGGGAGTCGAACCGTGACAGTGCAGAATGCGAGCTTGGCACGTTAACCACTCGGCCACATTGCCACGAGTGCCCTTGGGTCACAAGGCAGATGTGAATTTCAAGAAAGGCCACCCCTCTTGTCATATCACATTCTTTGGTGGGATTGCCGATGAAGCAAAGTTAGTTAGTTGCTA